CCACTTCGACCAATCCTTCTCTCGCCGAGCAAATGGCAGCCTTAACCGCCACTCTCTCTCGGATTGACACCAACGTCTCCAAAACGGCACACAACGTCAATACCTTGAGCCGTGAACTTCACGGGTATTTTGACTTTGTCAATTACCCGTACGCTCAAATGGTCCCTTACGTTCCTCCACCGAATTTCGGAGGTGAACAAAGTGGGACTCAAAGCGTTGGTAGAAATGACGAGGTGGATGAAGAAGAAGAAGAAGAAGAAGAGGAAGAAGAAGAAGACGATGATGATGATGATGATGATGATGGCGATGGTGATGAAGATGACGAAGAAGAAGAAGACATTGACGAAGAACAACTTCTCAATGATCTTTCCCCGGATTTCTAGAGCTCTAGCTCTACTTTCTTCTCTTCCTTATTTTATCATCTTTTCATATGCTTTCGTCATGTACTCTGCTATTTCCCTTAATTAATTAATAAAAATCTTTATGATTTTTGTTGTTAACAATCTTTTTGTTAATGTCAAAAGGGGGAAGATAAGGGCTATGCATATATTAAGGGGGAATTTTTTTAAGGGGGGATTTTTTTCAAAAAGATCAAAACCCTATGCATATCCCCGTCTTTTTTGCCATTATCAAAAAGGGGGAAATTGTTGGAACACACTTTGTACGATAAACTAAAGTCGTGTTCATTTCTGATAGGTTTTGATAATTGCCAAACTGCCGTGGATATAAAGAGTTTCGTTGAATAACTCAAGGCGTGAAGAATGGCTTGGAACAAGACCTAAAAGACTCAAGGACAAGATCAAGAATTGAAGACTTAGTCGAGTCGGTCTTTTGTGATCAAGACCGACAATATGTTCAAGTCTCGGTTCTCAAAAAGTCAAAACAATTTTTACAAACCATAAAATATTTTTTTGTGCATCAAAACAAACATTTTTGATGACTTCTTTTATTGTTAAAATCCCTGGTCCTTGCTCAGAACCAAAACCACCTAAGTCGGCGTTCGGCTTTCGGCGTTCGGTTTTCGGCGTTCGGTTTTTGGCGCCCGAACCAACTCCATGGTTTTCAATATTTTTAAACCCTGTTTTTACCTCTGAGCATTTTTAAAATATTCCCAAATAATTATTTTATAAAAACCACTTTTGTATCTTGGTCAATCGGTCTAACACGTGAAAAACGGTCTAAACCGTACGTACGTCTTATACGACCTTGGAGACTTGGTTTTTACCAAACAAGTCTTGATTTCACTATTTAATACCATATACAATATTTTCTGAACCTGGTTTTTACTTTTGGGAACACTTCATTTTTGGACCTCAGTTTTTCAAAACGGGTTTCAGCTGGCTAGACTTTAGCTGGGTGATAATCGATTATCACCTTAGTGACAATCGACTATCAGCCCCTGCAGCTTTGAACTTCCAAAGTTCTGAAGCACGCAATAATCGATTATCAGCTTTGCAATAATCGATTATCTGTCTTTGCAGCCAAAACCCAGAATCTTCTGAGAGGACCAATAATCGATTATCACTTGTTGACAATCGATTATCTGGGTTACCGTTGTCCTCCAACGGATAGAATTTTAAATTTTTGGACAGGGAATCTTTGGATAATCGATTATCATGCTTTGACAATCGACTATCAGCCCGTGTCCCTGAAAAAATTTGTCTTCATCCTGTTGGAAATTCTAGCAACGGATTTATCCCATTTTGGGCTATAAAATGGCACCCAAATCCTCTCATTTCAAACACAATTCTTCAACATTTCAATACTCTTTCATTGCATAAGCATTCCTATTTTTTCTTAGCTATTTGAGAGCCAATTCTTGAAGAAATTGTCGTGTTCTTGAGCGTTTACTAGTTCACTCATATCTACTCTTTGTGAGAGTTTTATCCCTGAGTGTTTAAGTGTTTTCATACACTTTAAGGGAGGTTGTTCCCTTGTTGTAAACTCGAAGGAAGTTCCTTGTTCCTTCGTGAGAAGTCTTGGAGTGCGGTATCTCCGAGCAAAGGTGTTGAGGCTCGTGTGACTCGGGTTCTCAAGTTGTATCGGTTTGTTAAGCACCCTTAAGCTTAACAGAGTTAGTGTAGCTCGAGAGAGTCTCTCGGGGGACTGGATTAGCCACACGTTGTGGTGAACCAGGATAAAATCCGGTGTGCTCCTTCCTTACGCTCTTTACTTTAACGCTCTCATTTTAATTTCCTGCGATTTTGTTTCAAACGTAATTCACCTCCCCCCCCCTCTAGCGTTGGGCCTTTATTCTAACACCAGCCAGCCCAAGCAGCAAGCATCTAGCGGCCAGGCGGGGAAGGCCCCGACTCGTACTTACGCGATGCGAGGGCGTACTGAGCAGCCAGCCCATGACGTCATCATGGGTATGTTCACCTTATTCGATACATCCATCACAGCATTGATTGATCCGGGTTCTACTTTATCATATGTTTGTAGGCCTATGCCTGTTATGCCTAACATTTCAAGGGAAGACTTGGATAATCCAGTAATCGTGTCCAACCCATTGGGACATAGTCTACAACTCACCCATATGTATCACGACTGTCCGTTAGTGGTCCAGGGAAAGACCTTCCCTGCAAGTCTCATTGAACTTCCACATCGTGAGTTTGACGTTATTCTACGCATGGATTGGCTCACTGCCAACCAAGCCGTTGTTGATTGTGGAGCACATACTGTTCGGCTGAGAGCCGAAGACGGTAGCGACATCCTGATTCGTGGTGAGCTTCTTCCAAAAGCTCCGGAATTCATCTCATACATTCATGCTCGCCGACTCATTCGCAAGAAGCACGAAGCATTCTTGTGCACTGTGCGTGACACTCGTCAGGAGGCACCCCGTAAGGAAGACATCCCTACGGTAGGCGACTTTCCCGATGTTTTTCCAGATGACTTACTCGGCCTACCACCTCCTAGGGAGGTAGAGTTTTCCATTGATTTAGTTCCAGGAACAGGACCGATCTCAATCACACCTTATCGCATGGCACTTGTGGAAATGAAAGAGCTGAAGGCTCAACTGCAGGAGTTGATGGATAAGGGCTTCATCCGTCCCAGTGTGTCCCCTTGGGGAGCACCAGTCTTGTTCGTCCACAAGAAGGACGGATCGATGCGGTTGAGCATCAATTACTGTCAGTTGAACAAAGTCACCATCAAGAATCGCTATCTGTTACCACACATTGATGATTTGTTTGACCAGCTGAGAGGAGCCACAGTCTTCTCTAAGATCGATCTCCGATCAGGATACCATCAGATTCCCGTTAAGAAGGAGGACATTCCTAAGACGGCATTCCACACAAGGTACGGTCATTACGAATTCACAGTCATGCCCTTTGGTTTGACCAAAGCACCAGCATGGTTCATGGATCTAATGAATAGTGTGTTCCGTAAGCATCTTGATCAGTTCATTGTGGTCTTCATCGATGACATCTTGGTGTACTCCAAGACACAGGAGGAGCACACCGAGCATCTACGTATTGTTTTGAGCATTCTTCGGGAACAGAAGCTTTATGCCAAGCTGTCCAAGTGCGAATTCTGGCTGCACGAGGTTACCTTCCTCAGCCATGTCATCTCGGCCGAAGGTGTGAAGGTAGACCTGTGTAAGATAGCAGCGATCACGGAGTGGAAGACTCCGCGTAATGCACGAGAGGTGAGTTTTCTCAGATTGGCAGGCTACTATCGCCGGTTCGTGAAGGACTTCTCCAAGATAGCATCACCATTGCACAAGCTGATGAGGAAGGACGTCAAGTTCGTTTGAACTGGCGCCTGTCAGCAGAGTTTCGAGCAGCTGAAGGAGTATCTGACCCAGGCACCAGTGCTAGTCCAGCCCACTCCAGGAGTGGAGTATACAGTGTTCAGCGACACATCCCATAACGGCTTGGGATGTGTTCTTTATGCAGGAGGGCAAGGTCGTTGCTTATGCGTCTCGGCAGTTGAAGCTGCATGAGTGCAATTATCCGACGCACGACCTTGAGCTAGCAGCTATTGTACTTGCCTTGAAAATCAAAAGGCATTACCTCTACGGTGAGACAACGCGTATCTTCACCGACCATAAGAACCTTCAGTACTTGTTGACACAGAAGGATCTGAATCTCCGGCATAAGAGATGGTTAGAGTTGATTAAGGACTATGACTGTCACATCGCTTATCACCCAGGTAAGGCGAATGTGTTGGCTGATGCCCTTAGTCGTAAGACTCTAGCTGTGTTGCATGTTCGGCCTACATTAGCGATGATTTTTGTATCCAGACCATTGAGCTCGTCTCTCGAGGAGAGAAGCCAGATTTCACAGTTCAAGATGATATCTTGTACTACCAGGAGCGTATGGTAGTGCCAGCGGGAGAGGTGAGAGAACGCCTTCTTCGCGAAGCACACAACATCGTATATACCATGCACCCGGGCAGTACCAAGATGTTTCACGATCTTAGGAGACATTACTGGTGGCCTGCGATGAAGCGGGAGATCACAGAGTTCACATCGTGGTGCTTGACTTGTCAGCAGGTCAAGGCCAAGCATCAGGTTCCCTCAGGATTACTTCAGTAGATCACCATTCCCGAATGGAAGTGGGATCACATCACGATGGATTTTGTTGTGGGACTGCCATTGTCACCACGTAAGCATGACGCAATTTGGGTCATCGTTGATCGATTAACCAAATCAGCTCATTTTCTCCCCATTCATCGTGACTTTCCACTTCAGCATTTAGCGGAGTTGTACATCCGTGAGATCATAAGGCTACATGGAGTTCCACCATTTATTATTTCGGATCGTGACCCTCGATTCACATCACAGTTTTGGAAGAGCCTACAGAGAGCACTGGGCTCTGATCTCCACTTCAGTACTGCGTTCCACCCTCAGACAGACGGTCGGCCGGAGAGGATGATTCAGATTCTCGAAGATATGATGCGCGCGTGTGAGATCGACTTCGGGGATGGTTGGGAGCGATACCTGCCGCTCAAGGAGTTCGCATACAACAACAGTCACCAGGCTACCATCGGTATGGCACCGTACGAGGCTCTGTACGGTAGACCCTGTCGTACTCCTACTTGCTGGACAGAGCTCAGCGAAAGGAGGTTGGAGGGTCCTGATCTTGTCCGTGAGACTGAGGAGAAGGTCTGACTTAGTAAGGACCGACTTCATACAGCTTCAGACCGAAAGAAGTCATACGCGGATCTGAAGAGATGTGACATTGAGTACGCCGTTGGTGACAAAGTATTCCTCAAAGTTTCTCCCTGGAAAAAAGTTCTTCGTTTCGGTAAGAAGGGGAAACTCAGTCCGAGGTTTATAGGTCCATACCCTGTTATTGAGCGTGCGGGACCTGTAGCTTACAGACTCGAGCTACCATCTGAGCTGAGCAAGATACATAATGTGTTTCAGGTATCTATGCTACGGTGATATCGATCAGATCCAACACATATACTGCCAGTGGATTTAGTCACTCTAGACGAGAATCTCACATATGAGGAGGAGCCTGTAGAAATCCTAGCTCAGGAGATCCGACAGTTGCATAACAAGGAGATTCCATTGGTCAAGGTCCTTTGGAGGAGTCACTCCGTCGAAGAGGCAACCTGGGAGACCGAGGAATCCATGCGTACCCGTTATCCTCATCTATTTAGCGATCATTGAACAGGCAAATTTCGAGGACGAAATTTTTTCTTAAGGGGTGGATAATTGTAACGCCCTGCAACCCGGTCTAATAGAATTGATTATTTTAAATAATTAATTACTGTTCCGGACCGGAGTTGGGAAAAATAAAAGTTCTTAGAAAAATTATTTGAACATTTCATTAAATTCGTTTTGACTGTCTGATTCCAGAAACGCAAATGGATCTCAATTCAGACCCATTCGGGGGGAAAGCGCGTACCGTTCAGGTCAGATTTTTACATAACAGAGTAAAATAAATATATGTAACCCCCATCATTCACACGTCCAGCCTGTCCTCTTCCATTTCTCAAATTCAATCCTCCCATTAATTCTCTTAATTCACCATAATGTCCATCATTATAAAGTACACTCTGCTCCCTTCACTCGTCACACTTTTGTAACCTCCCACATTCAACACACATTCACTCTTCATCTCTCTCTCTTGTTCGGCCAAGGCATTAGCCTAGGGGAGGTCTCCGGCGAAGCTCCGGTGGGTGCACAGTTGAGGGAATAAGAGGAGAAGAAGAGCTGGGCCGTTCGTGTGAAGCGTAGTCATCGTTCATTGTCATCTTTGTAGTTTCAACGCGTCCTTTAGAGGTGAGTAGTTGTCCCCTCTAATTCTAGAACATTTAGTTATAGTCCATGTCGTTATATTCATAGAAATATCGTACGCAACCTACGTAGAATCTATGCATGTTCGTAGGTTAACTAGCAAAACGTTCACCACGTAAAACTTATATATTGGCCTAGGAATTACTAGGAATATATTCACCAATGTTAGTATTATTGTCCTGAAAAGAATTAAGGCATTAAACTTTCAAAACGGATTAGAGCGTAGCCAAGGATAGAAGACTGTCACTGGGACGGTCAACCGTCGCTTCGGACAGTCGACCGTCGCTTCGGACGGTCGACCGTACCCTCAGCCATTCCAACAGTAATCACCGTGACGGGCGACCGTCAGCCGCGACGGAAGACCCAGGTGGACCGTTTGTATCCGAGACCTAGATCGTAGCCCACGGTCGACCATCAGTAGGGTACGGTCGACCGTTCCCCGGGCAGATTTTCGGGCAGGTTGTAGAACGAGCCCCGTTGACCATATTGACCCAGAATCTGATAGTATGTTGGATGAGATGTTAAACTTCATTATGTATGTTATTTAATTGATATATTATTGGCGTTGACCAAAGGTAAATATATCAAGCATTCATCATGTTCATCCTAGACGCATGTCCTAGGTTTACCATCATGTGCATACCGCTGTAGGGAGGTCACGCTTTCGTGCGCCTAGGTTTTCATTAGGTGGGCTTGTGTACGTACATGGGAGTCAGGTTACGGCTACCACCCGGTTTTGCTAGTCCACTTGCGACATCTTCGTCGAGCCCGGCTCATTACCGTTTTGGTCTGATAACCGGAGTGCAGGGTGATCTTGTCAAGTGAGACTAAGCCAGGGGCATCCCTGATAGTTTAAGTCATGCATCAAGTCGTGTCATCATCATGTATGTTCCACATCACATCCAAATTCAATGTGGTGGCATGTCATTTTGCTATGTGTAATAGTACCCCATCAGGTGCAAACTGAGCAGTTAATAAACATGTGGTTTTCCGTACACTAAGTACAGGTATTAATATGTGTATAACCATATGGGTTATCACTTTATATTCTTTTGTTAGATTCACTCCTCAGCGTTTTCTGAGCGTGTAGTTGTTTTTGCTACACGCAGGTAGACATGACGATACAAGTGCCAACCCTGGAGGACATTGATGATGGGAAGATGGGTGGCGCACGGATGAGTTCAATATTTGAATACATGTAATTAATTAATCATTTGGGCATGAACCCACCATATGTAACACCCTAATCCGTCCAGGTCTGCAGCCCCATTCAGACTAAAGTATTAACTTGGTAATCGTAAAATTTAAAACTTTTCAAACACTTTTATTTATCACGATAATATTTTTCATAACATATACAGCGCGGAGTTTTCAATATTGCGGAAGCTTAACAAATCATAATTATAAACATAATTTATTTATGTTCTTTAACTCAAAACCATCACATCCATTCCGACAATCTCGCCTCCGTCTGCCTCCAGAATCTCGTCACATCATTCTTTCTATTAACCTGCGTGTAGCAAATAAAACATACTACACGCTCAGCG